GCGCCTGTGGGGCTTGCGTCGACTTCACAGAGCCGAGCCTTTTCCATGGGCGGGGAGTGTGTGTGTGTGTGTGTGTGTGTGTGTGTGTGTGTGTGCGCGCGCGCGCGCCTGTGGGGCTTGCGTCGACTTCACAGAGCCGAGCCTTTTCCATGGGGGCGCAGTGTGTGTGTGTGTCCCTCCATCCAGAAGAGTGCGGTGTGGAGCGGGGGACTGGAATGCAAGAATTGCCTAAACACGGAGTTTCCAGAAGACAGGACCACTCACTCCACTGGCCAGTTCTTTTCTAAGTGCCCCGCCCAAGGGCCTGGACCTGGTCTTACTGGATCAAGCGGGAGCCTGATACACAGTCACCCTCTTAGGGTGACTTGCTGGCACGCAGCACCTAATGCACGAAAGAAACGGTGAGTCATACACATGCTGTCGGATGTCATCGTGTGACGCCATGGGAGCACAGGGTGTAGATATCTGGAATATCCTTTTTCTGAGACAACATATGATAAGCTTTTCAAAATGACTTCGCTGAGGTATGATTTGCACATAAGAGAACTCACACATTTTAAGTGTACAGCTCCATCACTTTTGACAAATTCACACACCGGATTAAGTTCTGGAGCATTTCCATCTCTCCAGAGCCGCCCCTGTGCGCCTTCCCAGGCAGCCGCTGAATCCTGTCACTGTACATGACTCTCGCCTATTCTGGGACTTGGTATATATGGAGTCATGCAAGATTTGCTTTCTGTGCCTGACTTCCTTTGTGGAGCAAGTGTGAGAACATGGGAGAATTTAACGCACCTCTGGACTCGCGCAGGTTGCTCCATGAAAGGAATGTCTGTGAATGTTTCCCGGGTCTGCTGAGGCTGGAAACAATGCTTCTAGGAATCCTGGGGTGCTGGTAAAGCACGCAGAGTCCTGGGCCGCACATGAGACCTATTGAATACAGATCTCTGTGGGTAGGATGTAGGAATCCGAATTTTAAAGTTTGAGAATTTGAGCACAGGCCAGGGTGGGCGACATTCAAAAGGAAACCACTAGACCACTAGCGTCATTGGTTACTTCTGGAAACACTTTTTGCTGGAAGCTCTGGGGATCTGGAGCAAGCCCTCCACTTACAAAAGGTGCCTCGTGACTTTTGGATGGTGAGGGCGAGCAACCTGTCCAGCCCAAGCTTTGTGGGCTACTGCTCTTCCACAGGGCCGGCAAACATGGCTTCCCAACGCCGCAGCGTAGTGAGATGCCTTTGAGGGGAGGATCTCTGTGTGGGGGCCTCAGCTCTTCTTTTGTCATCAGGAGGAGGGTCTGGCTTGGGTGGGTCCAGACTGGACAGCATTTCTCAGTGAGTGGCTTCTGGGAATCAAAAGTCAGCTGGGTGTCCGGGCCACTGGAACAGAGTGGGTTGAAAAAGTCTTGGCACCACTGAGCCTCCCAGATCAGTCTCAGCCTTAAGAGGCTATCCAGAATTATGATGGTATTATTATTATTATTATTATTATTATTATTTTATTATAACATTATGATGGTTAATTTTATGTATCAGTTTGACTGAGCCATGGGGTGCCCAGATATTTGATCAAGCATTATTCTGGATGTGTCTGTGAGGGTGTTTCTGGAGGGGATTAACTTTCCAATTGGTAGACTGAGTAAAGCAGATTGCCCTCCTTGGTGTGGGTGGGCCTCATCCAATTGGTTAAAGACCAGAATAGAACCAAAGGCTGAGTAAGAGGAACCCCTCCTACCTAACTGCCAGAGCATCAGCCTTCTGCCTCCCAACCGAAACATCTGCTCTTCTTGGGGCTTGAGTCCGCTGGCTTTTGGACTGGAGCTTACACACATCAGTGCTCCTGGTTATCAGGCCTTCAGACTTGGACTGGAGCTACACCAACGGCTCTTTGGGGTCCCCAGCTTGCCAACTGCAGATCTTGGAACTCCTCAGCCCCCATAATTGCATGAGCCAATTCCTCATAATAAATCTTGTTCTATATTTATATACATATACACACACACTATTGGTTTGGTTTCTCTAAAGAATCCTGGCTCGTTTTTTCTTTTCTGCTTATAAAACCAAAATATGCTTATAAAAATTCAAATGTTACATAAATGTATAATATAGAGAACCTAAATTACCTGTAACCCCATTATATTAATAGTCAGTATGGGTTTCTGCATTTGCTTAGGGTATAGAATGTTGCAAAAAACACTCTTGCCCCAACAACAATAAAAAGGTGAATAAACTATAAAGACATGACTTTTCTTGAGTTCATCGGAAAGGCAACTAGGCAATCTGAGTTCTGAGGAGAGAGGACAGCCAAACCATCTCACCTGTGGCAGGAGCACTGCAGAAAGATCCAGCCACAAGACAAGTGAGGAAGATGAAATCCAGTAAAATTTTATTGAATTGTTAAGGCAAAGAAGGGACTAATTTGTCTGGAATGGCTGGGGCCCCTCCGCGCAAAGCAAGTTCACATTCGCTTTCAGGATCTCTTCCCCGGGCCTCCACTGGATGCTCAGGAGAAAGGCCCGAGACCTGCCTCGCTGCTGAGAGTCTGCAGTGATCTTCAGCTCTTGGCATGAAGCCTTGCTCACTTCCTCAGATGCTCTCCTATGAAGCAAAATTCTGAATCCACTAGGGAGAGGGCCATATTCCCTTCATCCCCAGGAAGAAGTAAAAGCTCATGCTGGCTGGGGGAAAGATAGAAGAGAACATCCTATAACCCCCTGGGAGGGGCAAGAAGCCATCCAGGGCCCGAGAACCCGTTCTGATACCAACCGGAAATCAGCTACCCCTGGAGAACAAAAGTGCACCCAAGACATGCCCAAGACTGAAGCCAGGCCAGGATAGCATGCCCCTACCCCAAGCTGCGGGAGGAGGAAAGGCACAGAGAAGGATACTTTCTATGCTGCCCCAAGCTGGAAGTAGGGTACAAACACTGAGAAAAAGCCTGCCACACCCCAGCTCCACCCCAAGCCCGGGTGGCCGCTGCCGCCGGAGTCTGCATCTGCGGGGCTCTGAAGGTAAGGATGGCGGCAACGGAACCCACACCCAGCTCGACTCCTGCCTACATCAGCTGATTCCCCACGATAGACTCGAAACAAAGAGCAGCATGCCCGTTCCCCAGAGTGCACACTATACTGCTGTCTCTTCTACTGTACAAATAACATTCAGCATTCAAGGAAAAAACACTGTTGATAAATAAAGCCATCAACAGAATCAAGCTCAGATATAACCCTCCCAGATGGGGACATTAAAATAACTGTGATTAATATGTGGAAGTGACTCGTAGGAAAGATGGACAACATGCATGAGCAGATGGGGAATAATTTTAGCAGAGAGAAATTATAAGAAAGAGTCCAGCGGAGATACTACAAGGAAAAAAAAAATATATATATATATACCAAAAACGACCCCAGAAATGGAGATATTGGTGGATGAGCTCAACAGTAAAGTAAGCCCAGTTGAGGAATGTATGATTTGCCGAAGGATTATAGATATGACACCAATGGACCATCAACGAAAGAAAAAACAGATAAATTCGACTTCATTTTTATTAAAATGAAAAATGTTTGTGCCACAGAGGACACCAACAAGAAAGTGAAAACCCACACAATGGAAGAAACTATTTGCTGATGCTAGGATGTAAAATAGTCAAACTGCTTTGGAAAACAGTCTGGCAGTTCCTGGGATGGCTGCACACAGAGTTACCAATTCCACTCC